GGGGGGGTCGTACTCTTGGAGGGGTCAGTAACAGCAGTGGTATCGTGGTGCAGATAGGTAAGAGGGTATAGCGCAGCAGAAAATGAAAATATCTGAAAAAAAAACATGATATTAAATTTTCTTTGCAGGTTTCAGTCGCTCCATTCCTCCACCTTCATGAGAAGGGCGTATTTGAAGGCAGTACAAAGAATGAAAGTGCATCCCCGCAAAGAAGAGTGCCACATGTGCGCACGCGCTGCAAAGGCACCTCCTCTGCCTATCGCTCGCTCCTTCTCCCTTAATACCTCGCTGAGAATGACACTGTTGTTAGGGACCCTGTCGCAAAAACGACAACCGTGAAGGAAAAGCGCTGGGCAAATGAAGTTGTTCTTTAGGTTGTAGAGTTACGAAATGCGTTTACTACAATGCAGCTTCTGTCAACTGGTCATGATCATATGACACCTTCGAATCGATTCTGCAACTTCGAGTGAGGTCGGATGCATGGCCTATACTCAGACAAAATTCGATGATGACGATTGCCCCTTTTCCTATTGCTTATGTTGGGAGGATGTTTTCTAGACCCATTTCAAGCGTTGCCAACAATTACACTTGCAATGGTGAAGGAAGGGAGCGGATTTCAGGTGGCTGGATCCGATCCTCGACTACTCGAGATATCTTCTTCAACTAGGAAATGTAGAAGAAAACTAAAAGACCATCAGAAAGCGCAAACCTTCCGCTTTCCAAAACTATCTTCCCTTTTTCAGGATCTCAATATAAGAGAGATATTGCTCTTGAAGTGGCAAAAACTCGCGTGAAAATTTCAGCGTCCTCGACGTTTACTCGACGAAATTTGAGAGACCCTATCTTTCTGCATGGAAGGCTTTCAGAGCAATTTCAATACTTCTTGGAAACGCGAAATCCAGCTCTATCTAACCCTACCTCAAACTGCTTCAAAGGTTATGAAATGGAGGAATGCAACCTTTTCATCGAGGGTGTAGATTTCGACGGTTTTTTTCGGGATTTCAGCAAATCTGACCCAGTGACAATCGCGCCGCAGCTGCCGTTGAATCGGCCGTTGATTGATACACTCGGCTGTTTCGATATACTCAAGCAGGAATTAAGATTAAATCGCAACCCCGTGCCTTCAGGATTTCTGTGCATTTCTGAACGAACCTGACTTTGAGGTCACACAAAGTTAATGCCTCTTCCTCGAGTCGATATTTCAGTAAATACACAAAAGTGTGCAGCGATGAAAGACAGTGCACAGATGACAAGATGAGGCGTCCATAACATTATTTTGCAGGATTTTTTTGATTAATTAATTTAATTTATTCTGAATTAATGGTTTCGTTTTAGGGGGTCGTGCCAGGATCTCGATTTCGGGGGGGGAGGGAGCGTACTTCGGCGACCACGGACTCGAACATTTCACCCTTGCTGAGGAGCCGCTACCTCTTATCCCGGGGGTAGTAGGCAGGCGGACAAGTGTTGTCGTGCCGCCTTTTGCCGCTTGAAAGTGCGCGACAAAGGCACAAGCAGCTCGTCCGACCTGCAACTCACACCTTTCGTCCGCAAAACCCCACCCTCCGCTGTCCGTTGCCACGTGGCGCTGCTTGAAGAACGCGGGCACATTTGAGGGGGGGGGGGGGAGACAGCGATCCACCGCGGACCCTGTTGTCAATGGCACTGGAGCAACTAGAGTCAGGCTCGCGAAACTCGTCCAACGCGCCTTTTCTCTATCCCAAGGTGGAATGTTGCTGAAATAGGGGAGGTTTCTGTACGGGGCGTAATCTGTGATTTCGTTTGCTTTCCTTCTCTTTTATAGACCACCTCCCACCTCTAGTATCATGACTGAACGCTTTTAGACACCTATTTTATCCCGAATCTTGCCTTTAAAGAACAAGAAACTTGGCTATTGAAACAAATTTCACATTTTTCCCTAGTAAATGAGTCGCTAAAATTGTGTACTGTGCCAGTTTATGCATGCCACGCACAGAGGTTAAACTCTAAGTGAAAAGCGTTTAGCTTCAACCCGAAAGCTAGCCACGCGACATTTATCATAAAAAAGTAGCTCAGAGTGTAAAGGTGAAAGGATGTCACGATACTTTATCTGAGAATCAGCGCCTCTTGCGACAGCTCACGCTCACAAAGAGGAGGGTCGACATGCAATACAAAAGATGTAGGGAAATTCTTCTGTGCCGATTCGATTTCGATTTCCATCGAAAGAAAAGCACGAATCACGCATATATAGAATCACATCATGGTATCTTATTGCTGTTTGCGTTTATCTTGTGTCTTTATCTGCTCAATTACTTAAAAACAAAGACAGAGATTGAGGTATGCTGAAGCCTTAGTAAGCCTTAGAGAACCTCAGCTCAACTAAAGCCTATTCAGGAATCTGAGATCTACAATCTAAGATTGGAACCGCCGAGCAAAAATGCTAGCTGTGACTAAAGGATGAGGCATCGTCTCAGATGTAGATGTCACGAAAAATGTTTCTTCGGATGGCCATTCTCAAGTTGGCGACTACTAATTCGCAACCATACCACCAAAGTATCGAAAACTCCATCGCTGACAGGGCTGCGCGATGCTGGCCTTATTCGTACCGCACGTCCCTGCGCCGCTAATTGACGACATGGCCGTAGACCAGTAAGCTTCATCGTGCCAGCAGCAATGCGCCAAAAGACCAGAAGCAACGATGGTTTGTACTTCGAGAGCTCTTGAGATTCAATCCCGATCTTCATCCCATCACACGTACACAATGTAAAGTGGCGTCATTATACCAGGGAAGCGGACTCCGCCACTGGGTGAGACAAAGCGCTGAAGAATATTAATAAGAAGAGAAACAAGAAGAAAATGTGTAAACTTGGCGTCACTCAAAACCACAAGCGCCAGTAAGGGGCGAAGTCGGAGAAGTCAATTTGGTGTTTGACTGATTGGCACAGGTTTAATATCATAGATGCCCTTCAATACTTCCAAATTTAACACAACTAGTCTGAGGGAATTTTTATTCGTGACGAAGGTATTTTGATCGATCAATATTAGTTTAGCATGTTGACTTAGTTGATATTTTTGATATTCATCTAATAGTTAAAGTTGCTCGCCTAGTAGTGTCTACATCTTATCTCTTGTCAACTGATTCCTGTGCAAAAGGAGTAACGAGACCCTTTAATCGTCTATTTTGTTCTTCCGTGCTGCTTCCTTTAAGAGTTTCCCTCGAACCTCCGGAACTCTCTTTTCCTGTAGAACCTTCGAGATTCTGTCGATCCTCTTGATTCACTGACTCTTTGGACAAAGATGGACCACTCAGCTGTTCTTTCGATTTTTTCCGCTCGCCCTGCAGTTTCTCAGGCACGTTCTGAAAATTTTCATTCTGTGATAATTTGAGCTCATCAGGTGATTCTTACCTTCTTTCTTTTGTTTTTCTTTTTTATAATCATCCAAAGCACGACAATGATGGTAATAATTAGCAGGACACAAATGGGTCCGAGAGCTATGTAGAGTCTGAAACAAAAGCATCAGGTCCTTTTTGTATCTGATGCGCTTGAGTCGCAGCGTTTCACTAAAGTCCCCCTTTGTCATTGTTATCTTTAGTCTCCTGGCAGTAGCCGGGATTCCTTTCCCCTCGCTATGCTTCAGGACTTTCATTGTGTTAAGCTCCACATAGAGGTCAACATCTCGCAGCAGAATTTGTATGCACAAAATTGGATGTTAATAATGGAAATTATTAGGCGATCATAACATCACGTCAGATGGGACCTCAGCATCGATTTGGACCTTGAAGCGAGGAACTACGATGAGATTGGGTTGGGTTCATAGTGGAAGTGGGGATGCTGAATAATGCCCCAGTGGCGAAAAAAGCAAAGAAATCCGTCAAGAAGGCGCAAAATGGGACCCCTTTCTTTGCCCGTTGACCTCCGATAATGGACGAGCTAGCAACCAATTAGGAGGTCGTTTGCACATGTTAAACTGATAGCCGCTATCATTTCAGCAAAGATCATGCTTTGATTGATTACGCATTCCATGGGAAGTTATAGAACACTCAAAGTGGAATATCTCATGCAAATGATAAGAGCAATGATGCTACTAGCAACGCACTAATGGGTGGACTGGCAGCTCTAGAGCGCTGAACTAGAGCTCTTGACCGCAAAAAGGCCACATCTCGCTTCCTTAGACCCCTGACTACTGCCTACACTTCCATGCTTGCACACAACCTCTATCGTAGTCTCTCTGAACTCGAGTAGCGGTTGACGTTTAGTCCGTCTTCGTATTATCAAACCTTCAGTTCAGCCATTGTGTTAGCGTGCTGATAGCTCGATTGACAATCTGGCCGAAGGCAGAGAAGAGGACTTGGTCAAGACGGCAATAAGAATACTTCGTTCACCTTGAGGCGTTTTTTCTTAGGTGCTATCAAGTTGAACTTTGATAGATCAGATGACGCTGCTTGCTAGCGAAGGATCTTAGGTCATGATCGACGATGTTGTTCCAACGCAAGTTCCTACAGAGATTTGGGATGACTAACCTTACTCCTGTATTCCCTGCCTAAACTTTCTCTACCGCAATTGAGGGAGTTTTGGCAGAGCTCAGGAGACACATGCTCTCCCAGTCCACAGGAGTGCAAGCCATTTTATACACAAGCACTCCGGCAGACTTTCTGACATTACAGATAAAACATCCCGTTTCGGAACAATGCTTAAAGGACCAAGACCAGAGCAACACATCAGACATGTCAAATACAAATAAACCAACCGCGACGAGAGACATCCACTCAGGTGAATAGATATCTAAACTAGATACGACATACATCTGAGCGCAAGGCACACATCCCCGATGACTAAGAAGCACAAATATTAAAAGTCAGACAGCGTCACAGTATCATTGCTTTCCAGATAGGCGGTGTTCTCACACAATCACTAATTCCATCATACTCAATTACACGCAAACCTCGCGAGCATCACACCACCTCCCCACCCCAAACCGCCGCCCATATGCACACGCGCGAAACGCTCAAACCGTAAATAGCGACATTCGCGAGCGTATATCAGCACGACTGACTCAACAGTCACACTTAATGACTATCTGACAGCAATATCTAGCGTTACTCAGCTGCTATACCACCACAACGAACGCACACCCACATTACTTCAAGTCCAACCGTCTAATCAAGCCCGAGAGAGCGGAATGAATTGCGGAGCTAAAATAGAGGTTTCGTGTCGAAACAACCACAACACCATATATTTAGGTTATACCCAGAGAATGACTCAGCAAATCCACGGTCGGAGGAATAGAATAGTAAACAAGATAACACCGAACCCCCAGAATGATTTTCTTGGCAGTAGAGGCAAATGACCACCCTGCACTCTATCGCTATCGTTAAACGTCATGTCACCCATTACATCAACGCACACTTTTTGGATTTGTAAGTGGTCCCAAACACTGCATCATATATATATTGTTGCACTGATCAGCGCGCAACGCAAGTGCAGATCGAAAAGTCTTGAAGTACTCAAGAGCGCCTTAATATAGCGACCACCCAAAAGATATAGTCACTACGCTAATATTATTTGGCAGACCGTCAACCGTTTCGGGGGCTTTCACCTTCTTCAGACGCCCGGAAAAAAAATTTCACACCGGACAGTCTCCATCAGCGCGCAGCGTCGAGCCCAGTACGCCAGTGACCATCCGCTGCCATGAATGGCAATTGCCAAGGTTGCGGACGCCCCGGTAACATGATCGTGCGCCCCGCCGGATGACCGACGGACCAAGTGCAGTAACAGAGGGCCGATATATAGGCTTAAGATAAAAGCCAGGCGCATGCAAAACGTCATTATTTTACTACACACGCAAAACAATATTTTAACAGACACAAGCACACAAGAGTCCAAATTGGACGCCTGCCTGTGTCCGGAGGCCAGGGCATATACTCACTTAGATAATCCTCTTACTAAGTCACAGAATAACATCGGATACTCATCCCGGTTGGTCTCAGTCGATGGCTCGGACATGGCCGCCGCTTTACATGCCCTCCCAGAGCGCCGTCATTCTCTTGACCTCGATTTGAATCATCATTTGACTCAACCCCATATCCCAGGCGGTCCTAAACAGAACAAATGAAAACTATGAGGCGGTAACCCTGTATTTACACAATTCGACAATCACAAGTTATTACATATACACATACTCCCTCCCGCCCAGTACTTCCGTGCGCCGTGGAGGTGGAATCCCCATGCTGTTTAGGCCCAGCAATCTCTGAAGGTTCTTACTCCATCATCTGCCCACTTTCGACACGCAACTCGACCATTGAATATAATTAAGGTACTTTACCGTTTCACGCCCTCGTTGCAACCTGTAATCTGTCAGGAGTTTGAAATACCACGTTCTGCGGACCATGGTGTCCTTCCAATAAAATAGCGTTTAACAACGTTATCTATTCTCTCAGGCTCTGAAAAGTGAAAGCACAAAGATCCCGCAAGAACACCCAAGTCGGAGACTCCATCCAAATAAGATCCAACAGATATTGGAACCAAATATCTTAGCAGTCTGAACCAAGACTCAAATACTACAAACTATATCCTTAATTCTCGAAACTCCAAGCGAAAATTCATACAAACGTCGAACGTGGGAAGCAACTACTCGAATTGTACACTGACATTAAAAGAATAAAGAATATTACGCCACTCTTTAGCTAGAATATGAATTTTTCAATGGTCCTAATGATTAAACTTAGCTAACATTAGCTCAATTTTAATCCAGGTCCTTATCAGTTCCTGCTCACAACACCTACCATTACACCAATACACGAACATGCCCAGTCCGACCTCCAATACCCATCAAACTCTTGCTATACAACCACTGCCCCATCTGCCCCGCGCGTCACCGGTAACGCACATATCATTTCGTGGAGATGATAGAGTATGTCCTATCCTCTGTACACACGGGATACTCTATCTACGTTTGTATATTATCCCGACTTTTCTAACACACACCCAAACCAGGAACCAATACAAGGATGCGCCGCTCCCATCCCCCTACACACCTCTCCACCATACCTGTCACACACCCACCATAACACCCCTGGCCGCGCACACCACCAAGTCACCTCCGAACTATTCTTACATACTTTATACGTGAAATAATAATTTTATTACACCGATCTCACGCTCTCTCCATCCACCCTAGTCGCACCTTATCACTTATCCTAATGACCACCCCCCTACCAAACGAAAATGGTTCTCTCCAGCTACTCACACTGTACAGGGAAACAACATCCAAATCGACACAAATCAGACTCACTCATGGAACCAAATGCACTCACTCGGCTACAAACGAAATCTCTAGCGAGCGGGACGAATGACACCTATCGATCATAACGCGTGAAAGTTGAGCGCTTTCAGCAGGCCTGCGCAACTCCCTTATCCAGAACCTCCAATAATAGACATCCTGAGCGGGATAACATCCATTACTATTCACTGAGACCAAAATACAGATGATGCTCAAGATCGTCCCAGATAATCATACAACAATGGATAATAATACTCCCCATTGCCACCGCCACTTTTTCAGACAATACAACTTGCATCTGAAGCCAACGCCCCCACTCACACCCGCTGCGGGGGCCACAATCGCGTCCTATTGGAAGATCATCGTAATTGGACGATAGTTTGGCCGGACCATCTATATACAATAAAGGAACAAGATTCATTCAAGTTTCAAGACTTATCATAAACTAACCTCAATTATACCCAATTACAAGCCGGCTTCCGTCCTCCTGTGCGGAGTTGCCAAGAGTCGTCTGTTCAATGAGTTGACTAATCTACGAACAAAAAAATTACAAACATACACTCCTAGATCCACCTGGGAGGACACAGGGATCAAGTTGCGTGGCTGGAAGGGCACATGGAGGTTCTCAAGTATACATACCAAAAACACAACATCAGCCTCAAGCGAGACCCGCCCCGCAAAAAGCGCGTCCCGTGAGCAGAGCTCGAAATATTTAATGGGCACCAGCCGAAGACCGTTATCGATTTCAGTGTAACGAACGACGCTCGAAAAATCATACCCCAGGACTGCGACAAAAATGCCGCTCAAACCGCTGGCCCCCCACTAAAACTAAGTCAAAATAGATTGGTTAGGGAGACCCACCCAAAGTACCACAGGCTGGCCGCCTGGGGCGTGTCTGAATAAGCACACAAGATCAGTTGCCTTTATGATAAATTCTTATAACAATCTGTTGGAGAACGCCTACAGACGCTAGAATAACCGATTTGTGTAAGCGCGCATCGTCTATCGTGGTTTTCCCGTAAAAGCATACATCAACCTCCCTATTCGCGCGCACGGCCCGCCGACCCAGAATGCGAGCGTGGGCGGGGCGCGCTCTGAAGTGTACAGCATTTTCTACAAGCCCTCATAATTCGGGTCGGGGAAGTCCTAAAGAGCCGGA